GGCGATCATGTCCTTATCTTAGAAAAAAACCCGCAAGACATCAACACCATATTTTTCATATTTTTGTTTATTGTGTTCGTTGGGGAACTCCTCGCTTCTCCAGCATTTAGTTTGGCTAATTCTGAAATTGTGGACTACCTCGGGGAAAATGGCCGCGATTTTTGCAAGATCCGTCTCTGGGGCCCAATTGGGCACATGATTGCTGCTCCCATCACAGCTGTATTTGTCACTCATTACCATTATGTGATTTGTGGCGAGTATCAAGACAACTTTGCTATTGTCTTCGCTGTCACTTCTATCATGGCGATGGCTTCGTTGATATCTGTAACGCAGCTGGGAGATCAAACGATCAAGCACAGCGACAACACCGAAGGAAATGGCAACGGAAAGCCTTTGACTTTATTTGAGTTCTTCTCTCGCTACCAAAATTTCGTCTTCATCTTCATGACGTTCTTGATTGGCTGTTTTGATGGAGTTGTGTCAACGTTTGGGTTCTGGTACACCAAGACCTTAGACGTTACCATCACCACTTTGGTGTTTGGTTTCTCACGGATGACTAGCTCTGCGGTTAGTGTGGTGTTCCTGGGCTTGACAGGCATGTGTGTGAAGAAGACTGGTTACTCTGGAATCATTGTGTTCTCCATGATGCTGTTTTTCATTTGGTTTGTGGGAATGTCTCTCATGAAAAACCCATGGCTCATGCTTCTCTTTGAGACTATTGGCTACACCGCTTATGTAACTGGTTTTACAGGCGTGATCAGTTACTTTGGTGAAGTAACACCCAGTCATCTGATGGACACAGTGCAAGGTGAGAACAAAAGAGGATTCAACCTCGTTACCAGGTTCCCACAGTCTTGTTCAGGAAGGGGAGCAGGGACTTGTAAACAAATAAGCTAAAACCCTACTGACCTTGTCTTTACACTCTTTTTTCGGTAAAAAAGAAAGCAAAATTTCATACTTTGTTGGCGACGATTGTTGTCCCCTGCGCCCCCCTGAAAATCCCAGAAACCTGTCACTCCGACGAGCTTTGCTCCGGAAGAAAATGTTATGCAGATTAGCCGGCTATTAAATAATAATGTTTAAACCTACACTAAAGGCATTTCTTTATCTCTGTAGGAGGAGTTAACTCTTTGTTTTTCGGCGTGGGTTGCGGCATTGGAACTGCCATGTGTGGCTTTTTCATCGATGCATTTGGCGCCGAAGGGGCATTCCGGGTGTTTGCTTCAGGTGAAGCTGTACTATTAGTGCTGTTTGTCGTCAACCAAGTTACATATTTTTGTCTGAAGAAGAACGAAAAAGAAGAAAAAAGAAAGCTGTTGGAATAACTTTTTATGCGGGTCACAGGACTTACAGTAAACACTACGCCATCTAAACTAAAATTGGTGGAACACGCTGTCGCACCTCTTTAATCATAATTTCACTCAGAAAGAAGAAAACGCTC